ATTAAATCTGTTACTAAAAAAGAACTAAACAAAATAAACACAAAACGATCAGCTTTAAAAAAAGGACTCGTAACTGGAAAAACCGAATGAAAAAAGAATGTTAACAACAAATACTTTTTCACACTCAACCCAGCTCTGCGGAATCAGAATCAACGTTGAGTTTAAGCAAGCGAATGAGCCAATTGGCGTAAAGTGCCATGCAGATTTAAATTTTTCCCACTTGTGACGAATGCAGCTATCGATTTTTTTTGCATGCTAGTTAACATTTGTGTCAGTCAGCTGTTGGCCCTCACGCTGGCCAATAGAATCTTCCTGCCTATTCGTGGCAGCCAGCTATAGGCTCTCACTCTGGCCAGTAGAAAATGGCCGCAAACTACATGAAAACTGCCATAGAAGCATGGAAAAATCGATTATTTCCGCTATCGATGGGAGTTGGGAAATGCATCGTCGGTCTAGGCCTTCCCGCTAACTTGGCGCATGTGCATGTAAATTTTGGTGCAAATCCGTCGAAAATTGCGGCCGTGCATTCGTTACACACACACACACACACACACACACACACACACACACACACACACACACACACACACACACACACACAGACAGACACACACACAGACAGACAGACACAGACACACACATCCTGCCTTTTATAAAAGGAGATTTTGATAGTAATTGATAACACACATGGATTTTAAGAAATATTTGGGTTTTATTGTTTTATTGCCCCAACAAACGATCAAAAATTAAACCTAATCCAGCTCTAAATAATCACCTAAACCCTTTAACATTTCCTTTTCTAACATCTGTGGCATTCGAACCAACTTCTACAGTGTGGAATCGTTCCACATTGAGAAGTCTCCTGATATACTGGCTCTCTGTAAGACCAACCACAAATCGTTTTTCCCCTCCTCTGAGCTTTCGATCTCTGGTTACATTCCTCTCTTTAGAAAAGACTTTCAAAACCACATTCATGTCCGTGGAGTTTACGTCAGGGAGCATCTCCCACTGGTTAGGGAGCTCTCTCTCTCTCTCTCTCTCTTATCTCCAGACCATTCATACATGTGTCTGCCTTTTTATCTCCTCAGTACTGTAAGCTACCTTTTCTTCCTCTATCGCTCTCCATCCTCACAAGACTCTGGTGTATTTGATAGCATTTCCGACAATATAGACAAGGCTATCCATCTTTATCCGTTTGCTCATATATTCGTGTTCGGTGACTTTAACGCCCACCATACCAAGTGGCTTAAAAACTCTATAAATGACCTTGCGGCCATACAAACCCTTAACTTTTCAATAAGTCAATCTCTAAGACAAATGGTTGACTTTCCTACACGTTTCTCCAATAACCAGAACGGCAATTCTTCCATTCTTGATCTCTGTTTTACCTCCATCCCCAGTCATGTGACACGCAGTTCTTCCCTCTTGGTAACTCTGATCATGCTGTAGTGTCTATTAACATCTCCTTCTACTCCTCCCCCAGCAAAGAACTTCCCGCCAAAAGAACATCTTTCTGTTATCAACGAGTAGACTGCGACTCATTCCGGGATTTCCTTCGCGATGTCCCCTGGAATGTGGTTTTTAATCTCCCCGTTCAAAAATGCATTTTCGAGGTCTTCTCCTCGGTAAAAGTTGGAATCGAGGGTTTCATCCCCACAAGGAAATATAAAGTTAAACCGCACCCATCCCCACCCCGGTTCTCAGCTGCTTGCTCAGCTGTCATTGCCCATAGGAATCACTACTTCCCCCTGTACCGTAGCGACATATCAGATTGCAACTGACGTCTCTTTCTCTCAGTCCTTAATGTGTGCAAGCGTGTCCTCAATGAAGCAAAGTCATTATTTGATGAAAGAATGAAACAGCGTATTGCATCTCGCAAATTCTGTTCCCAAAATAATTGGCGTCTCTGCGAGAGCGTACTAAACAACAGCAAATCCAATCATCTCCTTTATTCAACCAATTTGAGGTCCTGACTTCCTCAAATGATAAGGCCGAGTGCTTTGTTCGGAAATTCTCATCCAATTCAACGTTCGACTCATCCGGTGTACCCACGCCCGATCCCCTAGAACTGAGGCGCTATTGAGCGAGTTGCAATTACCCCCATCGTTGGTATTGGACATCATCTCTAAATTAGACTCCCATAAGTCTAGCGGTGGGAACGGGATACCAGCCGTTGTCCTGAAGCGATGTGCTCCTGAACTGGCTCCTGTCCTCTCCAAACTATATAACTACTGCCCCAACGAATCTTGCTTTCCAGCCTGTTGGAAGTCCTCATCTGTTGTGCCTATCTTTAAGAACTCTGGAGACCCTTTTGACCCATCTAACTACCGTCCTATTAGTCTCCTACCACTCTTTGATAAAGTTTTCGAAACTTTAATCATCTGCTCTCTGACAAGGAATATAGTTTCCGCTTTGCCCGATCTACCGCTAATGTGCTCACAGCCAAAACGGAATTCGTTTACCAAACATTTCACAAATGACTTAATTATTTTGCAGGTACACATGCAAGATGAACTGACTCTGGTAAATTGATATAAAAAATTAGGCTAACACACACACACACACACACACACACACACACACACACACACACACACACATATATATATATATATATATATATATATATGGGAGGGAGAAAGAACCAGACATAGATAGATAGATATGGCCAGAGATAGATAAATAAATATGAACAGATTGAGATAGATAGATAGATAGTAATGAATAGACTGGGATAGATAGATAGATAGATAGATAGATAGATAGATATGACAAGGCTAAGATAGATAGATAGATAGATAGATAGATAGATATGTACAGACTGAGATAGATAGATAGATATGAACAGACTGAGATAGATAGATACATCGATAATGAAGAGACTGAGATAGATAGATAGATAGATAGATAGATAGATAATGAAGAGACTGAGATAGATAATGAAGAGACTGATTTAAATAGATAGATAGATATAAAAAGACTGAGATAGATCGATAGATAGATAGATAATGAAGAGACTGGGATAGATAGATAGATAGATAGATAGATAGATAGATAGATAGATATGAAAAGGACCGCGATAGATAGATAGATAGATAGATAGATAGATAGATAGATAGATATTGCCAGACTGAGAAGCCTGAGCTGTGGCTCTAGATATCTCTAAAGCGTTTGACAGGGTTTTGCATGCCGACCTTCTTCGTAAGCTTCAAGGATACGAAATTTCCGGACCATTATTTGACTTAATACAATAAATCCTGTCAAACCGTGTAATGAGGGTCGTGCTTAACGGATTCTCCACCAGTTCCTTTCTCACGAACGCAGGTGGTCTCCAAGGCTCTATTCTGCGTATTGCACTGTTTTTGATCTTCATTAACGATCTTCCTGATGTCATCAGTTCCCAAGTAGCTATCTATGCAGATGACACTACCATTTACTCCTACCTAGCAAATTTGGTATCGATGACAAAACTAATCTGGTTGGTTGGTCTCGAAAATGACTTTTAACCTGTGGTTGACTGGGGCAAGAAATGGCTGGTTAACTTTACTGTCTCAAAAACAAAACTGCTCTCTTTTACCCACCATTGCGGACCCTCCCTGCCTCCCATTTGAATGTCTGATGCTCAACTCTACGAGAACGCATCTTTGCGCCTGCTTGATCTCACACTGTCCGCTGACCTGAAATGGAACAATTACATTGAATCAATAGCTTCATCTACTGCAAGGAAAGTTGGTTCTATGTGTCGTGCCAGAAAGTTTTTCTCGCCTGAGTCCATCCTTTAAATCTATAAATCAACCATTCGCCCTTACATGGAATACTGCTGCCATATATAGTCTGGAGATCCCGCTGTTCGTCTCAATGTCCTCGACAAAATCCAGAAACGGATATGCAATGTGATTGGTCCTGATCTGGCATCTCGCCTACAGTCAGTTTCTCACGCACGTGCCGTCGCTTCCCTCTGTCTTTTCTACAAATACTTTCACGGTAACTGTACCGACGAGCTACTTTCGCTTGTTCCCAAACTGCATGACTTTAAGCGTGATACTAGGTTGGCATTTCAGTCCCATCCTTTCACTGTCGAAGCAGTTAAATGTAGCCATCTCTTCTACTCCAATAGGTTCATGTTTAACACTTCCCGCGTGTGGAACTCCCTTCCTCTTAATTGATATCTATAATCTTCAATTATTCAAATCAATGTCAATTGACAATCTCCAGATGCCTTGATCTAATTCCCCATCTTGCTTTTCATCGTTTCCTCTTTCACGCCTCTTTACTCTTTCTCCCACTCTCTGTAACTCCATGCATGCTAGTGGCACTCTCGCCTTGCTTGGGGTTGAAATGCTTAAAAAATAGATAAAAGAGACTTGTTGTCTCTTGATCTCCAGTGATAGTCACCAGACAGTAAATACTCAATAAATAAAAAGATAATTCTGTACAGAAAATCTCAAAGTCAATAAAACACCGATCGATAACAGACAATATTTATATCAAGTGAAAATTGTAAAAATAATAGCAATTAGAAAAGGGTATGGTGTTAAAAAAACAAAAGGAAACGTCTTTGGTGTTGTTGACCTGTCAACGCCAAATAGCCTCGGGCCGGAGGTGCCAAATAGCCCCGAGTCTGTGATATGATTGTCTAATTAAACAACGAGTTACTCGCTGTGGAAATGTAAACGAAATGAAAATTGGCGTCAACACAGACGTGTTCGCTTCAGATCTTGCCTATCGGAAGCGTGCAGAGCGCATGCGTGATCCAATCAAAATGTCGCCATGACAGCAGGTACATTTTGCTTTTCTCTTTCTTTGGTGAGCAACCTATTTGAAGGGAGTCATCAAACCCTGCCGATGACTCGTGTGCGTGTGACTGGATTTTTTACAGATTACGAAATGTGTGTCTAAACGTTTTATTGATATCTCCTTGGAAATTTATCCTCTCGCTAACATCGTCTCCAGGGATATTGACCTCGCTCTGATCGCATAACATCTGTCTATCAACGATCATGAAGATTTTCTTCATAATTATCTCTGCAGATGTATATGAGTCTACACAGAGAATATTTGCTTGTAAATATAGATATTTGCCAAGGGTTGAATAACATATGTCAAGGTGTTCATATGCACTTATATAGGTTTCTTTCTTTCTTTCTTTCTTTCTTTCTTTCTTTCTTTCTTTCTTTCTTTCTTTCTTTCTTTCTTTCTTTGTCAATTTATCTGTCTATATGTCTATATATCTAAGACTGTTTATTATCTATCTATCTATCTATCTATCTATCTATCTATCTATCTATCAATCTCAGCCTGGCCATATCTATCTATCTATCTATCTATCTATCTATCTATCTATCTATCTATCTATCTATCTATCTCAGTATCTGTCCAGTCTGTCCATATCATCTATCTATCTATCTATCTGAAGGTTGGTGCAAAAATAATGTCGTTTTTGGCGTTAAGTTGAACGTCAAAAACGACATTATTTTTGTAACCAACATAATATCTATCTATTCTATCTATCTATCTATCTATCTATCTATCTATCTATCTATTCATTATTCTGTATCATTCTATCTATCTATCTATCTATCTATCTATCTATCTATCTATCTATCTCAGTCTGTTCATTAGCTATCTATCTATCTATCTATCTATCTATCTCAGTCTGTTCATATCTATCTATCTATCTATCTATCTATCTATCTATCTATCTATCTATCTATGTCTGTTTCTTTATCCTTCTGGTTCATTCTTTCTCTCTTTCTTTCTTTCTTTCTTTCTTTCTTTCTTTCTCAGTCTATCCATCTGTATACGTTTCTGTGTAGCTCAGATTATCTATCTATCTATCTATCTATCTATCTATCTATCTATCTATCTATCTATCTATGTCTGGTCCTTTCTCCCCCCACTATATATATATATATATATATATATATATATATATATGTGTGTGTGTGTGTGAGTGTTTTAGCCTAGTTTTTCATATCGATATCAATTTACCAGAGTCAGTCCTTCTTGCAAAATAATTGAGTCATTTCGTGGCGACAACAGAACAAAAGAAAGCATTTCAATTTATAGACATTTTATTTGCGATTTAACGAATTCAAATTTTAAATATGCGCCCCCCCACCTCTCTCCCTACCAACACACTCTTTCTCTCTCCCCTCCTTTAAAGGCTCATGATATTATATATAGTTTTGAAACCGTAAATTGTCCTTGATATAATTCCTATTAGAGACATCGCATGTCACCGCGGTGGATTCTAAAAGACATCGATAATTGCTCGACCCCCCACATCCGGCACATGCACGAACACACATGCACACACACACACACACACACACACACACACACACATATATATATATATATATATATATATATATATATATATATATTGTTAAAATATAATAGACCAATATCAGAGATATAGCGTTTATAGATAATGATATTGTGGACACTGGGTCTGAAGATGGCATTCAAGTGTGAAACTGACCATTCAGTGTGGATCACTATGTCCACAGTGTCTGCACCTATATATATATATATATATATATATATATATATATATATATATAAACACAGACACACAAACAAACACATACAAACACACACACACGCATATATACATATATATATACCTACTCCTACAGTTCCGCCATATGCGAACATCTTTTAAATACCAGAGATTGTGCTGCCAAATTTAGTGTCGACTGGTTCACCGTGTTGGCCCGGTCACACTCAGTATTTCATCTTAAGGTTCTGGAGGCACTTTACATCGGGTCCCGGAAGCGTTCTTTGTGCAAACAACGTAAGTGTTTGCTGGGACTCGCTGTCATCTGCCTCTAGTTCCTTATACAGGTATATATATATATATATATATATATATATATATATATATATATATATATATATATATATATTCCACCTATTCTTATTGTACATTTCTCTGTTTTAATTTTGAATCTCCCGTGGAAGCCTGAAGAGCGGTAGCGAAACCTGTTGCTTCCCCCTTGTTGTTGTTGAGTTTTTTTTATTATTTAATATTGTTTTAATATGTCTTGTAATATTAAATTTTATACTTTATTTCGATCATTAAATTTTGTACCTACAAAAATATCTTTAAATATATATATATATATATATATATATATATATATATGCATGTTTCATTAAAACGACAGACAATGTACTACGATTAAGCTTTTTATTTAATTTTTCTTGTAGTCGAACAAGTTTTTTCTTTTTTGGACACAGAGTGTGTAGAAAAAAAAATATGCATTGAGAGCGAGAGAGAGCGTGTGTTTGTGTGAGTTGACATAGGAATAAACACTGCATAGTAATTGTCAGTTTCACGCTTCAATGCGATCTTCAGATGAAGAATGGATGGACAGATGCGGCTACGAAACACTGGAGTCGGAATGTAACATTAATAAGCTAAGTGACAAAATTTTACTCATATTAATCCTATATGTGTGTGTTTGTATGTGTGTGTGTGTGTGTGTTTGTATATGTGTGTGTGTGTGTGTGTGTGTGTGTGCATATATATATATATCCATATATATACATATACATTTATATATATATATATGGGATTAATACAAATAAAATTTGTTAAGTAATTGATGTTATATTTATCACCAATACATACATATATATATATATATATATATATATATATATATAAAATATTGTTTTTGTAGTGATTTTATAACATACTTATGTTATAATTTTTTTTATAAAATAATTATATATATATATATATATATATATGAAAAACTATGAAAAACCATTTATTCTACATTCAACACCATCACTTGATAAGACATCAGAAATGTTGAAAGAAAATGGCTATTTTTGTAGTGATTTTATAACAGTCTTATTTTATAATTTTCGAACAAATGATTACCTGAATATATATAAAAGTGAACATTGAAGTCAACACTCAAAGGCGACAGACTGTTTCATTCTAAACGAAAAGATCAAGACACATGTGGCCTGATGATTACCACTAGCATGAAACAGCCTGTCGCCTCTGAGTGTTGACTTCAATGTTAACTTTTATATTTATATTTACATACGCTCTATCTCTGATATTGAGCACTTTATCCCAAAAATATAGCCTACCTACAAAATATATTTCTTCATATATATATATATATATATATATATATATATATATATATATATATATATATATATATGTATAGTTACCATACATATATGTGTGTGTGTGTTAGGCTCATATCGATAAGGACATTTTATTCGTGAACATGTCGATATCATATCACAAATAACTAATATAGAACTATTGACTTAAGACATATGTTAATAGATAATACCAAATACTTTACAGCACTCACTACAAGGAAAGAGACAGAAGTAAAATTTATAGTTTGGCTTATTACAATGAAAATAATTTTAAACTCTAGTATCCTAATTTCATATCTCTATCTATAAAAGGCAGGATGTGTGTGTGTGTGTGTGTAACGAATGCACGGCCGCAATTTTCGACGGATTTGCACCAAAATTTACATGCACATGCTCCAAGTTAGCGGGAAGGCCAAGACCGACTTTGCATTTCCCAACTCCCATCGATAGTGCAAATAATCGACATTTTCATGCTTCTACGGCAGTTATCATGTAGTTTGCGGCCATTTTGTACTGGCCAGAGTGAGAGCCTATAGCTGGCTGCCACGAATAGGCAGGAAGATTCTATTGGCCAGCGTGAGGACCAACAGCTGACTGACATGAATATTAACTAGCATGCTAGCATGCAAAAAAATCGATAGCTGCATTCGTCACAAGTGGGAAAAAATTAAATCTGCATGGCACTTTACTCCAATTGGCTCATTCACTTGCTTAAACTCAACGTTGATTCTGATTCCGCAGAACTGGGTTGAGTGTGAAAAAGTATTTGTCGTTAACATTCTTTTTCATTCGGTTTTTCCAGTTACGAGTCCTTTTTAAAGCTGATCGTTTTGTGTTCATTTTGTTTAGTTCTTTTTTCGTAACAGATTTAATGTTTAGTATAGAGCTTAGAAAGAATTCGCAGTGCGAGATAGGCAAGAAGTAAGGCATGTAGCAACATCAGCATGGCAAAGGGAACTCCTTTAAAGGCAAGGAAGGGCAAAAATATTTTAAGTGATAGCGATTGCTGTATGAGTCGTACGATTTTTTCATCAAGCACGGGCAACGCCGGGCCATGCTGCTAGTACATACATATATACATAGATACATACATATATATATATATATACATATATATATATATATATATATATATATATATATATATATATACACACACACATATATATATATATATTTCATATATAAAGAGGAAAAGCTATAAAAATAAAGCATATAAGGAGGAAAGCTCATTTTCACAAAATTAAAAATTTAAGTAAAATAATTTTAAACTCTTGTATCCTAATTTCATACACACACAGACACACACACACATATATATATGTATGCAAATATATATATATATATATATATATATATATATATATATACAATTCTTTCATATATAAAGAGGAAAAGCTATAAAGATAAAGAATATAAGTATAAATATATAAATATATAAATCTCGTATTCACAAAATAAGAAATTTAAATAAAATAATTAACAAATATTAACATTCGGACCCATCTGACCCACCAAATCAGTAACGCCTACAAATTAAAATAACTAATCTAAAATTGATATAAAATTTGTTATTATGAATTAAGTTAAAATTAATATTATCAAATATTTCAAAACATTTATTTGTTTAACTTTTAAAAGGTATTTTCGAAATTCCAACTCGTCTTGCGATTATCCTGGCACATTTTCCGTCCTCTGTTAAAAAAAAAACCCATCTCAGATATTTAAACTTCTCTGCTTGTTAGATTTTCTTCAATTTGTAGCTGACATCACTTTTTTTTTCTCTTGTTGACAACCATAAATTCTGTCTTCTTGCAAATGATAGTTAGCCCTTTCTTCCCGCTTTCCTTTATTAAGTTACCTAGGATTTTCGGAAGGTTTCTTTCCGTGTCTGACATCAACGCGGCGTCATCTGCGTGTCATGTAATGGCCGAGCAGGAAAATCACTGAACGAAACTAACAGAGAAGATGAAGAAATACCACCTTGCATGAGGACCAGTTTTCACGCAATACAAGTCCCAAGAGGCAGTCAAGATAGAGCATTACTAAATAAGTAATAAGGGAAAAGAAGTAGTGAATAAGATGTGGACATTATGAGGATATATATGATAGGTAACGGTTTGACCCGACACTTGAAGAGGTTAAGAATAGGAAGCAAACTTGCGGCAGGCTTTTCCACAATGTAACAATTCTGGAGAAGAGCTGTTTGAGTTGAACTTCCTCCTTACCAATGGAATACGGAGGAGATGGAGGTCGAACTGACTCCGTGTACGTGGCATATCGGGTCCCTAGCCGTGAAGGTGAGGACTCGTGCGACTAAGTAATGTAGACTCTGGTAGTATTAGAAGAATTGGAAATATGAAAAAAACAGAAAACCCTCCAGTCTACAGAATAGATTCAATACTGACGAAAGGGCTGGAGAACGGAGAAATCTTGCTGTCACTTGATCTCCGGTCCATGCAACTACTTACCATGAATACGAAAACGCAATGCATAATAACAATGGCATAATGTAGAGGAAGGAATAAGAAATAATAGTCAGAAACAGGAAATGAGAAGAAAAAAAGAGTATGTTTTTGTTATCAAAATAAAATAAAAAGGAAACATCCTAGCGTAGTTTTACTTAACGTAATACCCTTAAGCTTGAAAAATAAAACATTTTCGCTTTAATCGGGTGATTAGTTTCTGAGCAGTTTTAATTAGAAATGAGTGTTACGTAATATTTCTCCTATATGGCAGTGAATGCTGGATAATCTCCTCACAAATGAAGAAAAGACATGAAGCAACAGAATCAAAGAAAAGAGTACTGAACTGTTATGTAATATCAGTCCTCCTATATGGCAGTGAATGCTGGACAATCTCCTCATAGATGAAGAAGA